GATTTGATAGAACTAATTAGTTTGCCAATGGAGAGTTGGACATTGTGCATGAACTGAAGTTGCTTCTGTTGATCGCGACACGATTCATTTGGTTTTGGTTGTCTTCTGTGTTTAATTTTTGTTATCTTAGATTGACGTCTGTTCTGTGGTATGAAATCTAGTCTTTTAAGGAACTTTTTTCCTCTTATTTTCTCTGTATTTGGGGTTGGGGTATTTACTATTTAGTGGGGTGGATCATATACGAGGATTTAGTCCCACGTAGTATTGTATAATTTTCCTTCCTTTTTACTGCTCGCCTTCGTATCTTTTTCTTTAATGTTTATATAATATGATTGGGAGCTTCGCAAGATCACATTTATGACTTCCCCATTATTACGTGGTCATTTGATGAGTAGTTGCAGCTATAAATTAATATTGAGCTAACTTTACCAAGAACAGATAAGAAATATTTATAGCAGTCTAGTTTTTTCTGTTTGTATAGCTTATATGCTCTAGTCTGGTACCAAATCCATGTTATGTTGTCTATTATGTTTATATTTAAACTGTTGCATGTTGAAGTGATATGATGATACAATGTTCCATTTTCCTATTCTTTTCCTATCCTTCCAGTCCTTATTGATAACTGTTGAAACCTAATCTAACATATTAATTTCAAAGCTCAACTAAAGAACACGTGATGCTAATGAACCGAGCCTTCCAAACTAAACCATTCCTCAAAGCATGATCCAATTTTTTTTATCTGGTGCAGGTGAGATGGCCCTACTAGTGGAGGGTCTAGCTGTCGGGGGTGACACATCAATAGAAGAGTACATAATCGGGCCAGCCCACGAGGCCGTTGACAAGGACCACGACCCATCCCCCAACACAGACCACATCAAGCTATACGGGCCTGAGGAGGGCCTCTCGTGGATCGCAAGGCCCGTCTCCGGCCACAGCCGCCACAACAGTCTCCTCTCCCGCCAGGCGAGCACGGCTGGCCCAAACGTGCCCTTAATGGACCCACTCGTGACCCTCTTCACGAGCGTGCACGAGAAGCTTCCGGATGCCGGCGGCGGCGGCGGGAGCACGCTGTTCCCCAATTTCGGCAGCATGTTCAGCACCACTGCTCCCGAGCCCAAAAACGAGCAGGAGTGGGATGAGGAGAGCCTCCAGCCGAGAGGGGAAGAGGACGAAGATGACGAGGCAGCTGTCAGCACGGATTCCGACTCCGGCTCCGGCGAAGGCTCGGATTCCGACGACAACCTCCGGACTCCTCTGATTTCGCGCCAAGCGACGAGCGTTGACAAGGACGGGCAGAGCATGGGGATTGGTGGTGGCTGGCAGCTGGCGTGGCAGTGGTCGGGAAAAGGGAAGGGGTCGGAAAGTGGGTTCAGGAGGATCTACCTGCACCAGGAAGGGGGGAATGGGTCGAGACGGGCTTCCCTCATATCGGTTTCCGGTGGTGGTGGTGGTGGAGATGTTGGCGGTGGAGATGGAGAGTTTGTGCAGGCTGCGGCGCTGGTGAGTCAGCCGGCGCTCGTCCCCAATGAGATGATGGACCAGCGGCCAGTGGGGCCCGCGGTGGTGCACCCGTCGCAGAACGCCTCGAAAGGGCCGAGCTTGGCAGTGCTGCTCGAGCCTGGGGTGAAAAGGGCTTTAGTGGTGGGGATCGGGATTCAGATGCTGCAGCAGGTAATTTCTTTTTTTTATTTTTATTTTTTGTGAATTTGTGTGTGTGGGTTGGTACAGTATTGAGATCGAAGTCGTTAGGGTGTGTTTGTAAACCAATAAATTCACTCAGAGTGAGTTTTTTTTTTAAGTTAACTAGGGTTAATTTAGAAAAAGTGGTATAGTTTAGTTGTTAGTGGGATTTTGAGTTTATATTGAAATAAATAATGTTTAAAATAAAATAATTAAAGTTGATTTTTGATGTAAAAGTAGGAGAGAGATGATATGAAGTGATGGTTAGTTAAAATTATGTGAGTGGATTAATAGTGAATTAAAGTTGATATGATGTATAAAAATGATTGATTGTTATTGTTTAATTGTATTGATAATATTGAGGATAGTTGGGTTGGGTTAAAGTTGAGTTAGATTTTGAGTATGAATTAATTTGGATCGAGTAATTTGGTTTACAAACACATTATTTGAGTTGTGTGCAAGTCTAATCGTACAGTTCCCCGTTGAATCCTTTTCATTGATGTTCACCTAGATAGCATTTCAACGACCTTTAAGGCTGGGAAAATTCTAAAAAAGATGTACATGTCTTCGGTGCATATTGTCGAGATAAAGTGCGCTGGCTTGTAATTTATCTGGTGAGAGGTTTTGTTTGAAACGTTGCTGATATATTTGTGTTTGTTCAGCTTTCGGGTATCAGTGGAGTTCTGTTCTACACTCCTCAAATTCTTGAGCAAGCGGGTGTAGGTGTTCTTCTTACCAAGCTTGGCCTTGGGTCAGATTCAGCAACTTTTCTCCTTAGTGCCTTTGCGAATTTTTTGATGCTTCCCAGTATAGCTGTTGCAATGAGATTCATGGATGTGGCCGGTAGAAGGTAACTATAATTCTCTTTTTTTCTTCTCCCTTCTTTTTTTGAACTTTTTTTGCATGTTACTTGCTTGTTAGCGTTGGAATCAACTTTGAATAATAATAACAATAATAGTTGATGCTCTTTTAGGTACAAGTGTATTAGAAAAGGAAAGGTGTAAATAGAACTGTAATTGACTTTGAGTTCGTTTTGTTGGAAACTATGTAGAGCCTAACTTTATGTACCCACATATGGGTGTAAGATAAATGGCGTATAAGAAGGAAAAAAGAGTAAAACTGTAAAGACCTGGAGAGTGTTCATCCAAGAAATTAAAGTGCCTCGTTTGGCGTAATAGTACAACTAGAACCATAATCAGGAAACAAAAGCACCTCTACTTTACTTTTCAAGTCTTGATGGCAACATTTGTGATCATTAAAACTCTGATTTTTTTTCTTAAACTAAGGCTGTGGCCTGAGAATCACTTGCTATTATTGGTCAAATACATGTTTTAAGAAGAAGGAACACCCTAAATATCTTCTGTGATAAGCCTAACATTTATATCTCCTCTAGAATGGCTATATCCATAGCTGTCTAGCCTTATTTCCCATTTTGTGAATGTTAACGTTTCCCTGAATGACATCTAACAGGGAAAAAAAAAAAAAAATTGGCAAGTTAACGATGTTATCTTTTCTGCATCTTTAACCCTTGCCCACAAAGATACTGGAATTACTATGTCTATGGAGGTCAATCCAAGTAGGATTGGATTCTTACAATACCACTCTTCGACATTTATGACTGATTACGAAAACGTCTAGTTTATTCTTAAACTCACAAAAATCCCAATTATGCATCTTTGTGGTGTGTGTGTGGGTGTGTTTTCTTTTCATCATGTACTATTAATCTAAATCTTAAAAGTTGTAAATCATAAATGCTGATATGAGATGAACTGTCGTACTTTATGAGCAAAAACTGTATGCTTATATTGTACTTGTTTACGTTGCTTATTAAAGTACGACATTTTATTGTGAACGACATGAAAGTATACTCCTTTTTCGAAAAAGTATGTCTGCCTAACGGTCTTCTCTCTGTTAAAATCTAATCCAACCCTTTTCTTGTGTCGAATATCTTAAATTAACACAGGTCATTATTGCTCACGACAATCCCAGTTCTGGTAGTTTCCCTTATCTTCCTCCTGATCGTGAATGTATTCGATTTTGGCACCTTGGCCCATGCCGTGATCTCGACTGTGAGTGTTGTCACCTATTTCTGCTTCTTCGTAATGGGCTACGGGCCTATTCCCAACATCCTATGCTCCGAGATTTTCCCAACCCGAGTTCGAGGCATTTGCATTGCCATTTGTGCCCTCGTTTTTTGGATTTGCGACTTCCTAGTCACCTACTCCATGCCTGTCCTACTAGCCTCTGTGGGCCTAGTTGGCGTGGCCGGGATTTTTGCATCTGTTTGCTTCATCTCGTTCGTTTTCGTGTTCTTGAGGGTCCCGGAGACAAAGGGCATGCCGTTGGAGGTCATAACCGAGTTCTTTGCTGTTGGGAGCCAAACAAGGCGCTAGGCATAGGTGGGATTTGTTGATTTTGTGTGGTTGATTGTTTCTATATATTTGGTTTGTTTGGGAATTTCTTTTATTAGGTTTAGTGGTACGAATGTTACTCGAGCCAGGCATGGATGCGTGCCTGGAGGGTTCTGGCTACTTGGTAGGGTTGTTCGAATGATTTCTCTCTATATATATAGTAAAAGAAAAATGATATTTGTGTTTGGGAATACATGTTTTTGTATATTCGAGAGTTCCGACTACTCGATCGCTATCTGAGTCGCCTGTGACATAATGTATCTGTATAACAGAGTTACTTTTTACTAGAAATGGGCATTGAGCAACTATTTCCAATGACAGGTTTCATTACAATCTCTAGCTATAGCCAATTTAGTGAAGGAAAATGAACATTAAAGTTCTGCATGATACTAAGTGCAGGAGTCAACAAAACCGTGGATTGTATTTGAAGCAGAGTCAGCGGAGGCAACGTCTTAGAAATGGCCGTCAGTCGAAAGGGCTGTAAGTATGTTCACTCATGTGACTTCTTCTCCGNACAATTTCCAATAGGCAGACGAGGCTCTGTGGAATAATTGAATAAAACAACACAATTCTATTTACATTGACGCAAAGTTTAATTCGTTAAAGTTTGGAACTCTTCAAAAGTTTCGATTCCTTAGTTTGCCCAGACTCCTCATAAGAAAAGATATAGCGGCTAAATCACAGTTGACGACCAAAATTTCAGATCGTGTGGCTCAGCCCCACATAGCACGCTGGCCTCTCAACATTTACAGTGCAACTCAAAAGTCAGTGCATCTCCTCAGATGATGGCAGATTACTCCCTAATGGGTTATTGTTTTGATCAGATGAAGAAGGATTATTAGAGCCCCCTTTCGAACTAGTGGAGTTCTGCTCCTCTGACTTCAAATGTGGCTTCAGCGGCCTCTCCAAGTCTCTGGCTGCCGCAGGATCTATCACTAATTTCCCGAGCTTTTGATCCTGTTAAAGAATAAAAAAAAAATCAAAATGCAGATCAGATCAAATATGGCAAAATGCACAAATGGTAGAAGGAAAATCTACCAAGTGAATAATTCTTCAGGTTTGTTAACAAAACTACCACTGAATTTTACCCAAAAATTTCGTCAACAAGATAATTGCCCAATACACCGGCAAGATAAACTGCAGACACACTTTCTTATATCCAGAAGATTAGAGGAAAATGAAAAACGCAAAAAGGATAACAATATCAGGCATACAAAATAAAAGTTTTCAAGTATAACGGGTTTTGTTTTGAGGCATTTCAAATTTTCTAGGGTCAAACATTGAAAGACACAATGTCCCAATAGATAAGTAGGTCTCGCTCCCAGTTCAGCATGCAGAAATATAGGAGCAAGCAAAAGGTAAACCCATAGGTTCAAGATTTTACAAATCTCTGTTTCGTGAGGCTAACTTACATTTTGCAAAGCTTCAAGCTTCCTCTGCAGTGCCTCGTGCTCTGCCTTGATACGGAAAGGAACACCGTGCTTCTGGTAAACGTTGTTCTGAGCCAAACCCTCGTCAATATCACTAGAAGTCGTTGCAAAAGGGTGATTTGCGGGGATCCACCTGACAGTTTCGGGGTCCACATCGGGAGGCACAGATTCCCCTTCTTTGAGAAATACTGTTGGCCTCTTCCATTGATAAGCACGAGATCTTCGTCTCTGATGTATGGTCTGTATCTCGTCTGTTAGGGTCACGGGAGCCAAACGGTACACTTTGCCACACATCTCGACCGTTGAATTGCTTTTGCTGACTTTGACCATGGGATTGTTGAACGGATCTTCATACTTGAGGGGTGTCGAGCTGTGAAAAAGAAATGACATTAAGGGATTAAATGTATCCTGGATTTCAGCAAATTAAGGATGCCAAAAACAAGAGCCTTTTACAATTACATATGTAAATAAATAAGGGAAAACATATTTAATTGATTCGTTAAAGCATTTATGCTTAAACAATATTCATTCATATGAAAAAAGAGAAAGGGAAAAGAAAAAAATGGAAATAAATCCTAAAGCTCACTGAGTGAATTAGAATCATACATGCCTCTTCTATCTGATCTAAGCTGCCCTCGGCGAACAAGATCAGCTACAGTACCCGAGCGGTTGTCACTTGTCTTCCGTCCCATAAAACCTTTCGCCACAACAGCTAAAATGGTGGCCACAATGCATAATCCAACTGACAAGTTCATACCAGAAAGTCTTCCAGTCTGGCAAAAGAGAATAAATGGAGGACAGTAAATTTCCAGTGAGGGGGTTGTCTAGTTTTTCCATGCATTTGCGATGCAAAAATTGGAAGTCAGGCATAAGCTAAGGATATTTTGTCTTATCTGAGGGACAAAAATATAATATTATTCATGAATTTTTAATCACACAGAGCAATCAATTTATTTCCCCAACCGCACCCCCCAAAGTAAAAAGAACATAAAAAGGGCTACTGTTCCATCAAGTAAACCATCTGGTTTCACACAATCTTGAATACAAAAACTCTCATCTAATCTTGAAGAGGAAAAAAAGCTCCTATGGGCCAATGAAATATACAACAACATACCCAGTATATTCCCAACAACAGGGTCTGGGGGGTCAGTTGTACGTAGACCTTACCCTTGTAATTATACAAGGAGGTTGTTTCCGTAGCGACCCAAGGTGCATTGCGCCGTTTGATATATTTTTTTTTTTCTAGAAACATCACTAATAGAAGAAGCATTAGAATTTAATTGAGCCACTTTGATCTAGTCCATTATTAACACTATGCCAGGAGAATTGTCAACAATGACTCTTCCAGCTCCATTTGCAATGGACTGGACAAAAGGGCCAATGAAATATAAACACAGCAAAAAGATACACTTGATGAAATGCCGCAGGCATGCTCAACCAATGCCAATTGTACCACCAAGACAA